ATATAAACGAGCGAAATTATAATACAAACTTTAAAAAAAAAATAGTAACTGAGCCTGAATACAATAATACTATTGGAAAACAATGCGTTCATATCACAAAAAACAACAAATATGTGCAGCTAGACTATAAATATATATATATATAAGACAACAAATAAATGAATCTGATGAATGATCTATTTAAAATTCTGTCGATTTTCTTTTTGCTTTTTGTATTGCTTCACTCTTTTCTTCAACAGCTTCGGTAACTTTTTTCTTCGCTTGCTTTTTCGATTCTTGAGCATATTCTTTAGTTGCTTCAAGAGCGTCTTCACCTAAAAAGTCACATAAAACAACTAGAATGAATTAATGATCAATGTCCAATGATAATGCTTACCAGCATGTCGACCTGTTTTCAAAGCTTCATTAGCTGAAAATGTATACAAGTAAATAGAATATCTTCAAAAAGACACACAAACCTTTATCTCTTCCTAACTCAACAGTTTGTTCAGCTAATTCATAAAAATAATAAAAAAAACCCGCTTCATATCAATTACATATTCAAAATAGAGTCACTTACCCAATTTTCGACCTTTTTTAACACCATCAGCACCATATTCAAGTGTAGCTTCATATGCATCTGCGCCTACAATAATTAAACAGCAATTTCGTAAAAAAAAATCAAAACAAATTTAAATTACCTGACTTTTGCGCAGCTTTCAATGCTTCATTAGCTGCAAATAGAAATATAAGAAAAAAAAGTATTAAAATCATAAGTTACAACAAAACGATAAATATCACCTTTATCTTTTCCAAGTTCAAAAGCTTGTTCACTTAATTTTTGACCTTGTTTCAAACCTTCTTGAGCATATTCTTGACTAGCTTTAGCTGAGTCAGCAGCAAAATTTTGAGCTAAATCAAATCAATATAAAATTTACACTACAATCAAATGAAATACTTTGTTTTCTTTTTTACCTGAAGCTTTAACGTCTTCAGCAACTTTTGCTAATTTTTCTTTTGCTAAAATATCAAATAAGAACGGATGTATCAAAATACAAAAACACTTACCAACATCAGCATATTCATCAGCACGTTTACCTAATGTATGAAAATTTATTTCCATAGGAATCAAAACTAATATGTAAATTCTTACTTCCAGCTTCATAGGCTTCTTCTGCTTTATCTTTTAAATATTCTGCACCATCGACTACTTTTGGTTTGAGAGCATCATATGCTTCACTGGCTTTGTCTTTCAGATATTCAGTACCTTCAGCAACTTTAGGTGAAACAGTATCATATGCTGTATTAGCTGCATCTTTTACCTGAATATTTCAGCATATATTGAATTGAATGTTTAAAAAAAAGAAATCAATACAACATACTTTTTCAACAACTTTATCTTTGTATTCGGCAGCAGTTTCAGCAGCTTGTTCAGTCTTTGATTTCTCAGCTAATGTAGCCGAGAGAAAAAGAACAACATAAATAATTGATAAAAGTTTGTTCATCGTTATGTTTTTTGTTTCTGAATCAATAGGTTGGTTTTTAGTTAATAAATCTAAATGAAAACAACATACTTGGTGACTACAAGAAAAAAATTTATGAAAATGTTCGAGTAGTACGCTTATATGACAGAAGTAAAAATAGCATTGGCAAAGAGAACTATACGTGTGTGGCTCACGTGTTGCAATGACGATAGTAACACGTGACTAATCGTACATCAATTCTCGTATATATATATTCTAAACTACGACATGCAGTGCGTCTATCAATAGAATTTTTCTTTATGGATAACGCACTCACTAATCATATGATGTAGTTCCTTTAGGTTCTTTTATATTAATCATGTATCATTATTTTTTATATGAATGATTTATCAAATCCATTTTCTTAACGACCTCTATGATATAAATCTTTAACTAAGCTTTTATTGGTTAACAATTACGTCAGATATCTAGCACTGTATGAAACAAAATAATTGAATTGTTTTATCTTGACGGTTCTTGTTCTTGTTCGATATTATCTTCTTTAACTTGATTATCATTTATTACAATTGTACATGTCACATCAAGAACAAGAGATCTCATTAGTGATTGTCTTATTGATATATTCTAACACACTCGAGGACGTCATTGAGAATACGAAACAATTTTGAAAGTTGAAAATCAAAATATGAATGTAAAAGCGTAGAAGTAAAGCCGAATTGCATTGAATGTTGAAATAGTTTTAACATGTATTTTCACATGATGAAAGGCCTTCTGTTTGGTATAACAAAAGATATACATTTTGTGCGACACTCCTAATTTTCTTAGTGCTGAATTGAATTCTACTTTAAGCCGATATTACGACAGATGAATTGTGAAATAGTACACTCTAATTTTTCATTACTTATTTAATTATTATTGTTTACAATTTTTTTTGTTCAAAATTATTAATCCAGATTTTCTTCATCTTCTGATTTTTCGCTTGTGGATTTCGATTTATTCAAAAACTATGGTGTTGACTTGCTAAAAGTACAATTTTATGATCAGTCTTTATGTAAAAATTATTGAGATCTTAAAAGCAAAAATAGCAGCATTTGTTTCGAACCAGACATTATTTACTTTTACACGATTGAGAGTTTATACTTACGAGTTGCCAGCATCTATATCGTTAAGATTATTATTTGTGTCTACAATGATTCATTTAGGATTGTTGAATTGGCTAGATAAACCCAATTTCAAAAATCTTATTCGTTTATTTATGTTAGTTTACCTATTCTCTTCCAATATGTTTATTTGATAAAAACTGAAATTTTTATAAAGGTGCAGAATATACATCAAAATCGCCTTCAAACGATCTTATTTCTTCTCAAACGACATCAGAATTGATTATTGTTGCAAACAGTATCAATAAATTCTTCGAAACTTACATTATTATTTAATCAACGCAGTACTATGCGATTGTAAGATGTTATGTATGTAGTATACTTCTTACTTTATTACGTGATTCCAACGATGACCTTTGTTTCATATGGAAAGAGATGCTCTGAAGCAAATATAGTAAATGAAACAATTTTGTAACACTTCTATTTTTGTGATAGAGTGTGCTGGAATGAAAACTAATTATTTCGCGTGTCCATCTCAGAACATGTCTAATGAAAAAGGCAATTCATTCACGCTTAACCCATTACTGTTACATCAAACATTATCGTTTACATCTGTAGAAGACTTTCAATGAAAAACCAAAAACAATGTTATTGTGATTTTTAGTATCATTTGAGACGATATTATGTAGACTTATAGTTAATTTGAGATACGGCTGTGCAATGTTTTGTCTGAGCTTCAGTGGATGTGGTCGTATTGTATAGAAGAACACAATAAGTTAAGTAATCACTTCAGAGTTTGTTTTGGTTCATAAAGATAATATAAATCGATAGCTTTATGACACATTGATTTTCAGATTAGCTATGAATCAATACATAGAACATAGTAGATTGCATTAGAAAAAATGAATCCGATAAAAAAACCGACATTTTTTTATCATTCCATTCACACTCGCGTACGAGTTGAGTTGGATTGCAGAACTCTACAGTAGAAAGCACATGGATAAAAAAGATGTTCGACCAAATTCTCAGAAAATGATCTTAGAAGTTGAACATTTTAAAAACTCTAATGTGTTTTTTTTTCTGCCAACAACAGCTGATAAGGAAATTTCTCAAATTGATAATCGTCGTTTGAACTCATATGATGTCTACAAGGACGCCTTAATGAGACTATCAAAAAAATCTAAAATAGTTCATCGTCATAGGCTTTTAAGATCAAATTATGATTGTTCTACTAAATTTTCGAATAAACTCAAGCTTTAGATATTTAACGAGAAATAAAACAAGAATAGAATATCCCTTGTTTGAAATTTTTTTCATAGATAAATCAAATGATTAGTAGAATATGCGGGAAGCTTCAATCGACAAGAATGTTATTTTGTTGAGATATCGAGTTTCCAAAAAAATAATCGCTATCCAAAGATATAGAATTTACTTGAAAATTCAATATCTCGACAAAAAATAATTCTTTACGGCTGCAATTTTAAGAACATTCTAAGGATAATATTTTTTTGTTGCAAATATATATAATAAATATTACATCATACGAAATATCTGTCAATTTGTTTCTTCTCATGTTAACCAAGGGATTTCGTAATATCTATGGATTTAAGATAGATATCACTCTTGTTAAGATGTATGAGATAGTTACTGACAGTTATGATAGCCTCAGACAATCTGAATACTGTTAACACAGTTGGGGTCTTGCTTCTCACGATGATAACAACATTGAATGAACACATCTTCTTTCTATTTGTGCTCAGCATCTATCTGTCTATCTGCGTTGTGATGAACACAAATTGAATCAATAATCTTGTTCATTACTGTCTTCAATTATAATGCTAATGTTGATATTATACGAATAATGGTGTGGCATTTTTGGTTGAATTGCTTTATGTTTTCTTTGTCTATATAGAAACTGAACAGTAATGCTAATCCATCTGTTTATTTCTCAGTATCGATCATAATATGTATATGTTGTATTTAGGAAACATAATTATATTCAATGCATTCATTATACTACAATGTACAAATTTAATACATCATGAACGATTTTGAAAATTGTATAAATCAAGATAAAAACGAGTTTTTAATAACTCATTTTGCAACTCTTTACATCTACTTACCATATAAGTTTAACATTATCATATATCAAAACAAAAAGAATATATGCGTGTATATAAAAAAAAAAAAAACAAACAAACCTTGTGCAAAGACTACTACACACAAATTTCAATAAGTATTAAAACACAAAAGCAAGAAAAAAAAACAGGTAATAAGGATAAACGGCAACTCTATACTATATAAGTGAAAAAAAAATGAAAAAAAACGTTTGTTGTTTTTTTTTGTTTCATAGATAGCACACAATGACAGATGAAATACGTCAAAGATTGTTGATGTTCTTCAATATGAAGACATTCAATGTAACATGATTAAGTCTTTAAACATCATCTGATCTTGATGCCATTAACAATAAAATTGTTAATCCAGTAACAAAAAATACTAAGACAGTTGCAATAATTTCAAAACCAGTAGCCCATCCAATTGTTGTATGAAAATGACTATTAGCAACATTACGCAATTCATTTTCAGCAGCAACATATTTATCATGAGAAAATGTCGACTCTAAAAAGAAAAACAATTTAAGTAATTAAAAAAAAGAATTTATTGATTTTTCTTTTTACCATAACGCTTAGCGTAATTACGAAGACTATGTAAATCGAAACCTTGCATATCATTTGCATCCTTTTGTACAGTTTGTAATGGAAATGTATAATCTTCATAGGTATCGCGTCGAAGATCTAGATTCAATATAATAAATAAATCTATTTATCTATTGTACAATAACTTACATGCACCAACAAGAATTAATGCTGTACTCATTAAAAGTAATGCCAAAAGAAAACAAATAAATGGTCCAAAACTAAGTACTAATAATGCACTATCTAAAAAAAAAAGTCATAAAAATTTTCGAAATTATATTTTGTAAAACAAGAAAAATTTTTAAATACAAACCATTTTGTGGTGATGTTATTGTTTTTAAATAGAGTGAAAGTAAACCAAGAACAAGAAAAATAGCAGCTAAAACTGTTAACCATTGTAAACCTTTTGCTGATGGTAAATATCGACATGAACAACCTTCATGTAATTTTTCCGGTTCAGTAACTGGACAATTACGACGAATATGATAACATGAATCAAAATTTTCCGGTGAATATCTCATATAACGATTTGGTCGACATATTTGAACATTTGGTCGGATACCAAGTGGAATACCTTGTTTCATTATCGTTATATTCATATATTCACATCTTTGCCAAAGACCATAACTAACTGGTGCCATTGTTGGTTCACGATCTCGTTTAGTTATTTTCCAACGAGGTGAACACCTTATTTATTCATTAAAAGATTAGTTTAAAAATTGAAAAAAAAAAACATAATAAACTTACATAGCCAATAAATGAAGAACTAATGCAGCAATACCCAGAAATAGGGCTAATGTTACAAGTACAACACCACGAACTTGCATGATCTATTTTTTTTTGTTGAAAAAAAAAAGAATTCGATATTTTCTATGGAAAAAAAATTTTTCTTTTTCAATTACACAAAAATATATGAAACACTCATTGACAATACAAATAACAAAAGAAAATAAGTTTGATTTTAATTTTTTTTTGTGCTTTTTTTTGAAAATTTTTACTTACTTAACAATCGAATTAAAAATTATGAATAAATAATAAAACAATCTAAAAAAACAGAAATGAGTAAATGGTTAATTCAGTTGACATTTGAATGTGCGAACTGAATTGTTCGACTGTATGCTCAACACATAAATCGGTCAAGATGTTGCCTGAAAGTATCTATTAAACGATTCACATCTCATTCAACTATTCTCATGTTTCTGTCTTCGAGCTGTGCATGTACATGTACAAAATATACACTCTGTCTTCATCGTTAGAACGATACCAACGATGACAACGATGCCAATGAATCAGTATGTCTTGTGGTTTATCCTTGTCTCTATCGACAATCATTATTCTATTACTATTTCTCTTTTGCTCTATGTTTTTATCGGATATAGGCACCATCTCTCAACATTACTTTACTTACGAATAAATGATTGATACAAGAAAAACAATGAGAAAAAAAATTCAATATTACTCGAGATGTTTTTTTTTTTTTTATGTTCATATTTACACTATATTGATGATAATCAGTACGAATATGACGAAAAAAAAAAGATGAGACGATATTGTGTTCGTTATCAATGAATTATTAACTTTATATTCTTTTCTATGTCTTTTTTTTTGTCATGTTCGATCGAGTTCACGGGCAACAATAGAAAGAAATAGGAAAAAAAGAAATCATAGAGGAAGACATGCGAACGAGCGACCACTGTACAAAACATTAGAAGCACAAATACATTGTTATACATGGTCACAAATAGACCTATATGCACACTGATATTCATATAGTGTAGACACCGATGGACGGTGAGAGAAAAAGAAAATCATAAGAAAAAAAAAAAAGAAACAGGAAAAATATATTGTTGGACAGATGCCTAAAAAAAAGAAAGAGTAAATGGAAAAGAAGAGAGAATTCTTTCTTTTTGAGACTATACAATACAATCGCAATTGCCTGTGGTTGGTTAGCTTGTCCATTGAAGACATATGCCAAAGAATACTATAAACATTAGATAGAAAGCAGAAAGAACAAAAAGTCGAGCAAGAGTTAAATATATTTCTGTACACGATATAGCAAACAAGGAACAAACAAAAAAAACAGGAATACTTGTCGTGTACAATGAATAAGCATTTATTAACATAACATAATAACAAAAATCACTAAGAAAAACATATTGTAAAACAACAAGCCATCATAAACAATTAAATAAAAGATAAAAAAGTTGTAGATTATGTACGATAAAAGATTAATCTCAAGTGTATAAATTAAATGTCAATTAACTTGTGCTACAGCTAGAATAATACTCAACATGGATGCAATTAATGTTGCTAGAATAGCAACAATTTCCGCACCCGCAGACCAATCAATACGAGCATGAAAACGTTCTTTATGAATTAACTTGAATGTTGATATAGCATTTTGGTGTAAGATAGAATCTATAAAATTCAAATTTATAGCTTTTCATTTTTCTCTTAATCAATTAAAAATGAAAATTTTCATATTAATACCTTTATAATTTTTAAAAAAAGCATTAAGTCGATATAAATTAAACGTTTCAGGTAACAAAGATAATGGAGGAAAAATATGTTTTGGCAATTTCATATCATAATCTTCGTATTCATTACGTCTTAAATAAGCACCAACAAGAATCATTGTTATAATCATCAATAATAATGCCACACTAAGAAGTGCCATAGGTGCAAAAGCCAATAGTAATGTTGCACTTTCTATATATGATCAAACAAAACTTATTTATATATCATATAAAACAAAACAAAAGAACAACAAACCATTTTGTGGAGAAGCAATTAATTTAAGATATAAACTAAATATAGCAAGTAAAAGAAATACAGCAGCTAGAATAGAGCACCATTGTTGTATTTGTATTATAGGTAAATATTTGCATTTACAATCTGGATGAACACCAATAATAGATGAACATTGATGACGACTTAGATAACATTTTTTACTTATTTCTTCGTTATTAATATTATAACGTAAATAAGTATTTGGACGACAAACAAAATTTTCTATATTTGGTTGAGATGATACGTCTGGTGTAACAAATGATGTATTTGAATATTGACATCGTGTCCATAAACTATAATAATGAATTTGATCATTAGGTCCTCGAGGTTGACGAGGAATAGCTACTATCCATCGTTTACTAAATCTAAAATATTGATTGATTAATAAGTTTAAAACATACAATAATAAAAACTAATTTACATTGCCAAAAAATGAAAAATAATACCAATAGTTGCAAAGAAGAGTGCTAAAGTAAGAAGGATTACAGCTTTAATCCGCATTTTGTTTCAAAATTTAACTAAAACAAATAAATCTTTTATAAATAAATATTCTTTAAAATTTTTCAATAGATACATATTATTCTATATTTGTCATATATAATAATCATAAAAACAAAGCAATAAAATATTATTCTACTAGTCTTATCTTATTTCATCAACTTAGATTATTTATAAATACATGACATAAATTGATTGTTTATATTTATCTCATAGAAAAAGAAATTGATAAATAGCAAAGCATTATAATGTCCTTATTCTTATTTTTTTTTTTGACGACTGAAATGGCAGATCGAGTTTGATAGTTCGGTTTTTTCTATCTCAACGATTGATTGACAGATAGAATCAATCATCATCATTAAAATAGAATCAAGAAGAAGTATGTAATCAGTTTTCGCCTACATACATTCATTTCATGGAATTGTCATATTTGGTCGTTTAACGCAGCTCTGTGACCTTGATCAAACAAGATATCATAAATGACTAAAGATTCTAATTATTAAAAGATATATATATAATTAACCAGATTCTCATATTGAGCTTAAGTATAAAAAAAAGATAATTCAAGTGTGTTCATGAATGTATGACACTATACAGAACGATGTCTATATATTATAGTCAATGAGAACAACCAAAACAGAGATAATTATCAAGTAATGTCTTTGCTTTTCAGTTAGACATCTGTACTTTATGTGCACACATATTGATATGTATTTAGCATAACATAAAAGCCAGCAAACCAGAAACACACTTGATAATCTATAAATTTCAGATAGAATAGATAAATTGGAATATGCTCTCAAAGTTTTTTTTTCTTCTATCAATCTCAAATTTCAATCGAAATTTTGATAGATAAAATTCAATTTCGAATCCAGATTACATAAAAATTTCCGAATAATTTTTCACATAAAATCAACTTAAAATTAGTGAGTATAGATAAGATCTAACAACTATTAAATTAGCATACCTTTTTTTTGTAAAATTTTGTACTTAGATGAGTCTAATATATCCACAATGACACGCGTCTTTTGTATTCACAATGATCATTTATATCAACTAATAAACTCTCTCACTATCTTTATTTTACTTTCTACGCTCGAATGATCTTGTCCTTTTTTTTACGTTGTCTGTCTAAGATTATACAGTAGTTAATTGATGATATGAATAGTAATGAGCTACATCAATCCATTGTTATTGTTGCTATTGTGCATCGTCATATAGGTAACTTAGTGTAGGATCAAAGCCAGCTTCGATGTTTATTTCATTCAGTACGCAATCAACTCCTTTTGATATATTAACATTCACCATTGTTAATTAAGTAAAATAAGCACTTAAATTAAAAAAATACATAAGTAAAAAGGTAAAATATATTATATAAATCATCAAATACATCTCTGTGGATTTGAATGAAACAATATTGTTCCTTAACAATTGTCCTTTACAATGTTTACATCATTCCAAATCTGATGATAGAATTATATTCGTCCGTATATATTGTTCAGTCGACTATTGTTATCAAAAAGGAAATTCGATTAAGACTTTACTTGAGCATAAATAATTAGCTAATGATTGAATTAATTGTAATAGTGGTTTATTCGAGATAGTTCTTATTAAATTATCTTTATTCAAATGCTTGTTCTTGAAAATCTTCAAATGAGGGAATTAATACCAACTTTTTCAATGATTTCATTTTAGAATGTTCGGAATTGAATAATTTACATTGTTTCAAGAATTGATGTTATATTTTGTATTGAGATTATTGTTCGTCTAAAATCTGTTATATGAGATGAAACATAACCTATTGTATTTGTAACTGATGAATAATTTGTAACAGGTGATGATATTAGCATGAATTTAGAATTGCATTTATTAATCATATAGCAGATGTTTCCATGCATTGGAATATTATTATATGTTCGATCAGATTGATTAAGAAATTATTTAACTACTTTTTTGATATAATAGTGATCTGTTGTCATTTAATATCACAAGAATTGCAATAAGAAGACTAACAAGAAATCAAAATAAAAAATTTACAATAAAAGATTTTGTTTCATGTTTCTTTTTTTACAACATAGCAGATATATCAATATGTTCTAGAATAAGTTTAAATATTCGTTATTGAAACTTATTACTTCCAGTGAATAGATTTAGTTTTTTTCTTCAATTATTTTATCAGTGTAAACATAACTGAAACAATAAAATCTGTTTTTTTTTGTCTATAGAGCTCATCTATTTCTATAGAATGTCAAGAACATTTTTCTTTATATATACAAGGTGTCACATAACCTTTGCCTCCCCGTCTATAACTAAGAGTATCAATGATATCACAAATGTATTTTATACCAAATTAAAGTGCGTCAAAAAATGGATTTATTGGTACTAAATGGTAAAGGTTATGAAGTCCTTTTAATGTCGAAATATCAAAAAAACTACTTGGAAAATCTCAAAAAATGTTCAAAAACTTCAATTTTTTCATATGAAAGAAAAACACTCGATTTTTCAATAACCTTAGCTTTTGTTCATTGTTTTTGCTGTCTCAGACGTTTCAAAATATGCTCATTGGATGCAGTTTTTCACGCGACATCGGATGAGTATATTTCGAAACTTCTGAGACAGCAAAAACAATGAATAAAAGCTAATGTTATTGAAAAATCGAGTGTTTTTCTTTCATACGAAAAAATTTAAGTTTTTGAATATTTTTTGAGATTTTCCAAGTAGTTTTTTTGCTATTCGACATTAAAAGGTCTTCATAACCTTTACCATTTAGTACCAATAAATCCAGTTTTTGACGCGCTTTAATTTTGTATAAAATACATTTGTAATATCATTGATACTCGGAGTTGTAGAGGGAGAGGCAAAAGTTATGTGACACCCTGTAGATGCTTGAAAAAATTTACTTTAGTTAACTTATTCCATTGAGGAAGTTGATTAAATTTGAAAGCTTTGCACAAAAATTATCATGAATCTATAATTTTATTTGATGATTGAAATGATAAAAACGTTTATAAAAGAAATGTGAAATATGCTAAGAAAAATGCTCTTTAAATTTGTTTTATTGGAAATCATATAATATCATATCAGAATAAATCTTCTGATAAATCAATAAAAATGATACTATTAAAAGTGTATTATGAGTTTGAAAACTCTAAAGTTTCTAAGGGATGCAATTCGAAAGTTGGCTGTACCAGTAACATATTCAATCACATATATTTATAGATTTAATGAGAAACAATCGAATTCAAATAATCGAAATATATGTATATCATTTATCATGATGAAAACCTAAAGAAAAAATGAAAATAAAATAAAAGATTTAATTCATTTGAAAAAAAAACATTAGTCATTGATAGAACAACATGAAAAAATAATTTTATAAAAAAAACTTTCAATATTCTGTTCAGTTGAGTACTTGGATTCAACAATTGTCATGTGAATAGAAATAAACTTTTATTATAAATATACAAGAATAAACAACACAACGTTATGACAAGTTTTAAAAAAAATAATGGCAATAAGAAATCTAATAAATCTAATTAATAATTGATTTTCCTATGATGGTAGTAATATTTTCAAGTAATATTGTTTGTTCTAAAAGTTCTTTTTCTAACTGAATTTTTTTATTTTCTAATAAACGGATTTCATTCATTTCTTTATCAACATTCAAATGATATTTTGTTGTTTGTGAAAGATCAGTAAATTCTTGATATCGTTTTTCAAAATCTGTCGTCGCTATTATTATATCTTGTGAATGTTCAGTATTTAATTGGTTAAGTGTATTAACTAATTCAAGCATTAATTGTATTGATGATTGAGTATCATGTATTAAAACTTGTCGATCAATAAATTCCGATTGAATATATTCAGATTTTTGTAAGAAATTATTTATTTTTGAATTAACTATTGTTCGAGAACGACAAAGTGATGCTATACATTGAGATATAAGTCCAGATAATTCTTCATCTATTTGACGAGATTCAGAAAATAATGTTCGTAAGATTTGTATCTAAAGAATTCGTAAAGAAGTAAATATTGAAGAATTTCAAACAAAATGTAAAGAAAAAAAAAAAAAGAATCGTACGCCATTAGTTTGAAAATTTGTTACTTCAATAACAGCTGTTTCAAGTCGATCTTTAAGTTTAGAAAATTCTTGTTCTATTTGTTTTCGTTCAATTTGAATATTTTTTAATTGTTGCATACGTTTTGTTAATGATTGTTCTTCTTGTTCAACTTGTTGTTCACGTTGTTTTAAATATTCAGTTTCTTCAAGAAATACTGAAGCTAATTTTAATTGCATTTGAGAAAGTATTGTTTGTAAACTTGAATATGTTGTTCTAAATGAATCTTGAGTTTTCATTGATGATTGATGATCTATATCATGTTCAAGACGAAATTGTTCGTCTAATAAACCAGATTTTTCTGACGCATTCACTAAAGGAGTTAAATTAAGAGCATAGATATTGTCAGTATTTGATTCAGAAGAAAACATCTGTGGAGGTCGGTTTCGTGGTGTTGACATTATTGGTTTAGTATTATCGATTAATGATGATAAGAGACAACTTCGTTTAATATCCATTATTTAAAGTTTAGTGAATAGAAGAAAGAAAAAATGATTACTTCGTTGTATGATGTGATTTAATGGAGGTGTAGAGAAAATCGAAGGAAAGAGGATGAGTCATTCATTTAGTAGACGAACGAACACAAAATATCGTATTATATATATATGATTAGAAATGATTTCAACATCTTATAAGAATATTGAATAGATATTTGATACATTTGATTTCTTTTGATGAATAAAATATTTAAAAATATAAATTATTTCGTGAGTGATATCAAACACATATATTGTATTTCACGTATATTTAAACATTAATCTTTATTTTTTAATGAAAATCAAAAATGATGAATTATTGGATTAGTTAATAAGCAACAAAGATTTGATCAATCATGTTTTGAAATGTTTTATTTCTTGAATACAGAGTAGGAATCCATCAGTTCCTAAAAACATGATATCAATTTTGACATTTTTTTCTTTATTAAGAATTTAGTTTCTATGAATTGTTTATTTCCACCATGATTAGTTTTCTTGCACTCTATCCTGAGCTGTAGTCGAAATTTATCAAAATACAAAATAAAGGTTTCAGAATGAATCGAAAATTCACATTTTTAAGTTTTTTTTTTCTACCAATTTCAAGTAATTTTGAGACCAGTGTTTTGAATTAGACAAAACTTAAGAATAACTTTGGAAAGAGCATTAGAGACTGATCAAAACTGGAATGAACAATCGCTTGGAGTACAGTAACTCTTAGCACTGGACTTGTGTTTTTGGAATCAGAGATAAGTCAATGGCTTCAATTTCTAATCGAAGTTTAGAATATTTTCAATATTAAAAAATTATTGAATTCCTAGCGATTATTCACGTCAGTTGTAATCAATTTTGAATGCTCTTCCAAAACTATTACTAGATTTTGTCTATACAAAATTTAGGTCCCAAAATCAGTTGAAATTGGTCGAAAAAAACTAAAAAATACAAATTTTCTACCAGTGTGGAAATCTTTATTTCGTGTTTCATTAATTTTAACTATAGCTTCAAATAGAATTTAAGAGACTGATTATGATTGATATAAACAATCTACAAGAGTTACATTCTTAATAAGGAAGAGACGTGATAGAATCAATTTTAATCAAAACTGGGCAATTCAAGTGAGACTTGACTAGCGTTTGTATTTTCCAACGTGGTAGTAAAATCAAAAAAATTACCTGCATATTTCATGAATTAGAAAGGTTTACTTTGAATACATGAAGTCTTTTTTTTTCAGATGTTGACATTGATTGTTTGACTGTATCTGTCAATCACATGGCATACATTTGAAGATCTTTCTAGGTTTTCGTTTTGTTTCCCTTCGATTCAAAACATATTAACTTATTCTTCTTTGATCATTAAAAAAAAAACGTTTTGACTGACATAAAAAATTTGCTCCATTCTGATTATAATTTGATCAACACATTTTTTTTTTTCACCATTTACTACTATATTGACAGAAAAGAAAACGAAGAAAAGAAAACGATGAAAATCGTTCTCTTTTTTTTCTTCAATACAGCATCATTGAGTGAAGTTTAATTTTTATAAACGTTTACACTTCTACATAGACATTTTCATCAACAACAATAGTAACGACTTTTATTTTTATCAGGACACGTGAGTATATAATGTAATTTTGTTTATTAATTCATCATGTAATGTAAGAATGAAAAATTACGAAATATAGATTATGGCTTATAGTCCAATAAATAAATTAAAATGATAAGTAATTATTTATTAGAAAAAAAACAGTAAAATCTTGGTTTTTAAACTCAGTCAAGAATCTTGTTTGATACAAACAAAATAAAGTTTGTTGATTTCTTTGATCTATCATTATTATTGTTTTTTAAAATACGGGTAATTCTATTGATATTTTTAGTTGTTTTGACATCGATTATTTTCTTTATGCACATCTTTATTTTCATCCATGGGCTGTAAACAAACAACAACAAAATCTCCATCTGTTGTTATCGCAACTTCACCAACTACATCATCTAATGTAAAAAGTGCATTAAAAAAATCTCATGTTAAAGGAGGAGAAAAGACTGAAAAGCCTTCATTTTTAAAACAAAACGTACCAACATTAAATAAATCAGTTAATTTTGATGAAAAAGTTCAAGTTAAATTACGTACTCCAACTCCAAGAGAAAGACAATATGAAAAAGCATCATCAAAAAAAATAGTACAAAGACAAATATATCATAATGATAAAGATAATGATGATGATGATGATGACGAAGTTACATCGATTTCATCACAAGAAGATAATATTAATAATGAACCAATTAAAATATCAAAACCAGTTCCGTCTCAATTCTTACAACGAAATCAATCAAATGCTTTTTGGAATAAAAATAATTCTATAGGAATAATATCTGGAGCAAATAATGTCAAAGAAAAAAGCCAACTTCCACCAACTGCAATACAACAACCACATATTAACATGACAACGAATTCTACAGAAAATTCGAATATGCCTATAGGAAATCGTTTTAGAATACGTCGTAAAGTTCAATATCCTGTTCTACCGCAAGCTTCAAGTCCAGTTGTTTCTATTCAATCACCCACTACTTCTTCTTCTCCACCAATTGTACAAACATCATCTCCTACAGTACAACGATCATTACCAAATACAAACGCTATACTTATTGAACATCATGCATCATTTTCTGATGGTGGATCTACACCAAATCCCACATATTATGCTTTCAAACGACGTCCGATTGATAAGCCAAATTCAACAGAAAAATAATTTTTATGTTATTACATATCAATAGCAAAGAATAAAATGTACGGAAGATAAAAATAAAGAATATTTTATAATGTGAAAAACAAGAGAAAAATTCATCAGTAATCAATCATTCTCACATTATAAAATGAAAACAATAGTCGAATAAATCAAAATCTTAGGATTGACTAAATTATTTCTAACTGTTAAAACAGTTGAATAAACATTGATATTTATCGTAAATTCATTTCTGGTTACGACTATCTGTATAAGATTATTTTCAAAAAAAAAAAAAACTTTGTTTATTAGAATATTTATTGAAGAAAGTCATTATAAAAAAAAAGCAAAAGAATAATGTATCAAGAAAACGATGCTTGTCACAACTAATTTTAGAAAAAAATGATTGAGTATAGTATTATCATTTATTTATAAAAAAAGAATCCTGAGAATCAGAGTAAATAAAAAAAAATACTAACAATTTGTCGACGCCATTGTACCAGGTCGTACTCTTGGATAAAGCTAAAAGATAATACAAAAAAAAAATTTCAGTCAATCAAGAAATACTTTATACAGGGAAAAAGAATTCTATCATAGACAATTATGTCTGACACAAGCAACTGACATAACATTTAAAATAAAGCTTGTTAGCGCAGCCCTTTTAAAATTGAAACGTGAAACTCACATGTATTCTTTAGCCTCATTATAATAATACAAAGCACATAAAGTGAAAAAACTTCTCACCGACTATATGCGTCTTGTTTATTTCTGTATTTCGAATAGAAATTTTCATTTATCTTGTAGCTATTCGCTCACGATTTTTCTTTTTCTTAATTTAACATTACTAGTAATCTAATCACTGATTCAACTGGCAAAAAAGTCTGTTGTATATATTCAGTGTCAAAGTCTTGTCATAAAATGTCATTTAGTGCATATTTTCGTCGGTCAGGAAGTCTGATTTTCACAATAATATGTATCATCAGCACAACATAATCTAGACAAGATTAAAATGTGAAACATGAAGAAGCAGTTTTGCATGTAGATCATTATTGTATATAAGAGTAAAATTTAGGAAGAAGCCACATGATAGGTGCTACATAGATATATTACTTCCACCGGATGGACTATCAAATATACGTCGAAGATGTCTAGATTAATCAGAGAATGAGTCACTTTCTTGATCTAGAATTTTCAATTCATTTACAATCATGTTCTACAAAATGGAAGTATTTTAGCATAGAAAATATATTAGTTCTATGGTGATAAAGTTTATTAAACTCTTTAGAGAAATGCAATCGAAGAGACACATTTTGAAATCTTCTTTCATAAAAAACTTACTCCAAGATAATTTCGTGGGATATATCCTTCTTTTCCAGTAGTTTCATGTCTTGTCCACCACCATTCTTTTTCATATTCATCTCCACGTCTTAATATTGTCAATGAATCACCATCTTTAAATTCAAGTTCATTATCCATCGAAGAATCAGGCTCATAATCATATAAAGCATAAACTAATCCATTATTAATTACACCCAAATCATTTTGTACATCTAAAATATAAGAATTGTATTTCTTTTTTTTTTTTTTTGAACTATGAAATTTTTCTAATTTTACTTAAGAGATATTGTGAACAACTAGTATAATTTTCTTCTTCTTCTTCACATTTTTCTGCAGCTGTTTCATTATCTCGAATAGTTGCTGCATAAATACAAGCACCATGTTCAATTAAAAAAGCAACCATTGATGTATTATTACATGATGCTGCACAATGTAATGGTGTCCATCCATCATTATCTGCATAATTAATATCACAACCAAATTCAACTAAAAATTTTACACATTCAAAATTTGATGCGCATACTGCATTATGTAATGCAGTTAAACCTTCATCATTTGGTTGACTTGGATTTTTTACCTGAATATTTCAAAAAAAAAAAAAAATAATGATTTAAAGATATAAGAAAACAAGATTATTTTTTTTTTTAATTCAAACTTCTTTTGCAGATTTTATTAGAAGTTCAAGTTCTCCAATAACAGCAGCATCAAGAAGAAGTGCTAATGGATCAAATATAACTCGTCTTGTAGTATTTTTAGGTGTTGTTGGAGTTTTTAATAATGATTTATAATTAGTACTAGATGTTGTTATGTTTATTGGAAATGATATTATTGATTCAATATCTTCTGAAAGTGAACCTTCAGATTCTGTATCAGAAATAACTGATTCAATTATTGTTTCTTGTTCTCCATCAGAATTATCATTATTGATATTCGTATGTAGATCAAAAAGATTTTCATATGCACTAATAGTAGACTTTGTATCTGATAAAGATGAATTTATTAATGAATCATCACGAACATGAATTGGTTGTTGCTGTTGTTGTTGTTGTTCAAGATTTGATGATAAATGTTTTATGAATGAATCATTTGCATCAGATAATGAATGACGTTTTTTTATATTTGATGTTATATTATTAAAATGAATTGAGAGTATATCATCATTTAAACGAAGATTAGGTGGTAATAATTGTTCTTCAATTTTTGATGGTTGAGAATCAATCATATCTGTTGTTGATTTATTTATAACAATAGGTAAATTTGTAGCATGTGATGGAGAAGATGTTAATGTTATTGATGAACCAGCCATATATGCTGCAGCTATTTCACTTTTAGATGCAAATGTTATTTTAGCTAGAGAAACTGATGATGAACCATCCTTTGTCTAAATATAAAAGCAAAAAAAAAATATATTAAATATGATGTACAAAATGTGAATGTCACGAAAACTAATCAAATGAGAAATTATTATGAAACTTAATAAGATCATTTTTTAAAAGATTTAATCTACGTAGATCTTTTATTTATTTGCGGTCTGTTATCAATAAAATTTTGTATGTGCTAGCACAATGTTTGATACATAATGCATTTGTTGAGAGAAACAACATCTGCTTATCAATTCATGTAGCGAAAATTCTGAGTGAACTTCTCTCTAGATTGACTTCAATTAGAATTTCATCAGAGCTAGCCCTAGTTGGATCAGGTGTTAAGTCTCGAAATTGAGCCACTTTTTGATGGTCTAGCCCGATTCAACATAGAATGGTACTGTTAAAAGTATATTTCTTTTAACAAAAAAAAATCTGCACAATGGAATTCTACAATCATCGCAGTCATTTATTAGAACATTCTAACAAGCTTATTATCATGATGATTACGAGTTGAATAAGTTCAGATAATATTAATCCGTGAAAAAAATAGTATAAGAGATAAATCCAATTACTTATTGAACTGAAAAAGTTACATGTGTTCGCGAGTACTGCAACTTCTTGATTAACATAAGCTTTCCTGAGTAAAATGTACGCTGATCTATTTCAAAAACTCACATCAGTTACCGTTTTTAATTACGCTGTTTCACTTCAGTCACATCCACGTCACTTAAAGCAATTGATAATGTATTTGATCTTGTATATGGATGAGAAATGTCATCAAGTCAAATAAGTACTCTGCTTTCATTTATTAGATAAATGAAAATTCGAAAACGTTGGCATGATCAAGACTTCTAATTGTTATCAGTTGTGAAAGTGCAAAATACATAAAAACGCAGAATAAATTCGATTAAAATCAAATGATATCTAGCTGCAAAGTTGAAAAATCAAACCTTTTTTTCCGTGGGTGGAAAAAATTTCCAGACAACAGAATAAAGTTCGAAATAAGCGATCCATTTCGAACCTGGATAAGTATTTTGGTTATGATACAGTCTCTCTTTTTTTATTAAGGAAAATTTTCGTTTCTTCTTGACAGAAAACGATATTTGTTCTTGAACTCTATTGAAAAGAGTATATTTTGCCAATCAAAATAATTGATAATATTTCCTTCCTTTTAATATTTGCTACTTCAGACTAATGAGATTCTCAACTTGAACTTTATCGAAACATTTTATGTGTTGAGATTTTTTGTTTGATTTGAACATATTTGTGCGCGATGGTCTATGTTGATGCAGGAATGTTTTGAAAAAGTTTTTTTTTCATTTTAAATTGAATCATACTACATCAAGAAATTGGAAATCTGTTACAGTCACTCCTATGACATTCATATTGAATAATTATTTCTTAATGGTTTCATATGTTTGATTGTTAAAAAAAAATTAGTAAAGTTTGATACACAGAGAAGACGAATTATAAACTAACCTTTTTTGAACTATTTGAATTATTAATTTGATCATATTGACTTACAATTGAAGATCCGCTCGTATTAATTGCATTAAATGAATTTGCTAATTGTACCATACGTTTTTCAATTTCAACTATGTTAATATTATTTAATGTATCTTGTACAGTATCTAAAGCAGTTTTAAAACCAGTTGATAATATAACTGGTTCAACAACTGTTGATTTTGTTTTCATTTTCAAACGTTGTTGAAGTTCTTCTATTCGACGATCTAATTGACTTAATTCTGCTTGTTTTGATGTAATTATTTCACGTTGATAAGTGATTTTACGATTTTGTTGTTCATTTAATTTATTTCGTATCTAAACAAATTCTTTTTTTTATTCATCAAAACAAAACCAAGATTTTGATTAAGAGATTTTCTACTCAAAAATAAAAAACGATTTTCCGAGAAAAACATGATTCCGAAATTTATACATACTCTCACAATTCTTGCAATGGACTGAAAGCTGGCATCATTTTTTTTTGTCAAGAACAGGAGAGTGTGAGTAGAATAAAGACTAATTTTTTTTATTACGTAGCCGATAGCTAGGGGGTAGCTCGAGTTTTGAATTTCTATTTTGATGAAACGAAACAAATTTTAATTCACAAACAGAGGTCCAAACAGGCCACGTTTTTTAGACCTACACGGCCTGTCAAGTTTTTCGAGCGAGCGCAATAATGATGACAGACTAGAAACCAGAGGTCTGAACAGGGCACTAGGGCTATTACTGAACCTGATTCTGACCCGCCTGTCATAGACATCACCCATGGTTTTCAGACTAGTGCAAGTGACAGGCCGACAGGCCAAAAATTGCTTGGACCTCTGACTTGCACTAGTCTGAAAACCATGGGTGATGCCTATGACAGGCGGGTCAGAATCAGGTTGAGCAATAGTACTAGTGCCCTGTTTGGACCTCTGTTAACAAATATTTTTGGACATGAATTTGAGGCATTTTTCGGAAAAGTTTTTCATTTTTTACAAAACAAATAAAGAAAAATTCAAAAACCGAGCTCTATTAAGACCTAGTCCTAAGTGCATTCCATAATTTATAAATTATCCTGACATGATAGGTCGTATTCTTGTTTTAAAAATCTTGCCAGCATAAAGGATACTTGTGATCAATACATTGACTATAATTCTTGAGTACATTTGGAGGTTTGGGGAAAATATTTTACCCATAATCTATTTTAGTCAAAACTAATATTTTCTGAAATTTTAGTTGAAATCGTATGAAAAATAAAAAATAAATTTATTTCTGAGTCGGTGAGAGAACATAAAATAATTCTACCATCAGTTCTTGTTTTAATTTATCTAATTCATTGTTATTTTGTGATTGTTCTTTATTTGTTGTTATTTTTAATTTTCTTAATTGATCAAGTTGTTTTGTTAATTCATCAACTTTATTTAATGTTATTGTTAATTCTTGTTCTTTATTTAAAAATATTTTTTTTAATATTTCTAAATCATTTTCTAAATATAAAACAAATAAATTAATTTAAAGAGAAAAATTTTTTATTTTTGAACAAACCAATTGTTGAATTTGAATATTTTTGTTGATTTATTTGATTTTGTAGTGTTTTTAAACGTAAATGTTTGATTTCTTGTTGTTCAATATGTTGTTTTAAACGTTTAAGACGTAAATTTTCTTGTGTTGTTTGTTGTTCCTTAAGATATTGAAGACGTTGTTCACGTGAACATAATAATTGTTTATTCAGTTCAATTTGTTCTTGTTGATAAGCTGCTATTTCTTGTAATTCTGATAATGAATAATTCATTATTTGATTATTTATATTTAACTTAAAAAATAAATAAAAAAAAAAACAAGAATTTGTTTAAAAGTTAAAAAACAATTAATTCTTTTACTTGATTGATATTTGTTTGGTGTTTATTTGAGTTGAATTCATGTGATGATTGATGATTATTATTGACCGAAGGTGAACGCATTGTTGTTCGTCGTCGTTGAAGATATTGTGAATGATGATTGTCTAACAATATGAGAGCAAGATAAAAGAATCGATGATCATTATAGACAACGATACAGGGGTCAAACTTTTTTTTTCTTCGTTCATCTATTCCTACGAAAAATGCTACCGTTATTTGTCGTGTTCTTATGGTCAATAACTATGATCAGTGTGAAAGAAAAAAAAAATGAGAAAGAACGAAGAAATTCTCTGTTTAATACAACAACTGTGGTAATACACTTGAGAGAAGAGAAAAATTAACGTTATTATCAAGAGAAAAAAACAATGAGAAAGCTTTTTAGTTCTTGATCATGTTACATTCTTTATCATAGGTTATGATATTTGTTTCAGAGTCAAAGAATCGATAACATACCATCTATATGCTGTACAACAATTTTGAATTGTTCTATTACGAGTTATTACATCAAATAAACAATTATCTAATGGAATTTCTCGTTCTAAATAATTTCAATTCTATTAATCATAGACTAAAATATTTTTACCAAATCCAAAACCTGTTTCTATTAATCGAGCAGTATTTGGATTAAGTATATGACATCTTAAAACTTCTTGACATGTTGTCTTTTCATTAATATGAATAATCTGACGTGTATATGGATGAGGTTGTTTTAAATGTGAATGATAAAGACAAAGTTGAAGCTAAAATTAGATTAAAAATTAAGAAATAGTTTATTCACATTGAAAATAATTACTTGATCATTATTTGACATTGTTCATGTTTAGTTTATTGAATGTAAAAAAAAAGAAATGAATTTTAATCATCAATTAATGTTAACAAAGAATAAGGGAGTGATATTCTGTATATATTCTTGTAAATTTTATATCATATTGATATTAATCAGTTTGGTTTTCAATCCAGTGGATTTACGTATGAAGATTTCTTTAAAGTATAAAGAATTTTTAAACATAAGTTTGAACCATAGATTAGCGACCACTATCATATTTTCCATAATTGTTTATTGAAACAATTTTTTTGCTAATAATTCATAAATTTGGTTCTATTTGGAAATAAAGTTCTCTGGTCAATCTGGTTTTTATCATGTCAAATACAACTTTCATATGTCTCTGTCAACACTCAAAACTCAAGTTGAAATTTTAAGTAGCACATCCTGTATGTCATATAAAGAACTATAAAAAATTTCGTGTGATGAATAGCATGACAATTACTAGATGTGCTTTTATTTTTATTCTAAAAACTCAAAACAATTTTTATATATTTAAGTATTAAAGAATAGATGACTCTGTTTAATATCATTTGTTTGTTCATGAAAGTCCGTATTTGTTGCTCGAAATGGACATGGTGATGAATCACGTCTTTCATCACTATTTTCCGTTTCCGTTAATATAGCTTCTTCATGTAATGGATATCTTTGAGGTTGTGAAGGATTTATTGTTGGTTGGATTGATATTGATAAAGGAAATGATGGTCCTTGATTGCTGTTTAAAAGAAATGGTGGTGGCCATTGTTGAGAGGAACGTGGAAGAGATAAGGAATGATTCGTTGAACTCTTTCTCATAAATGGAATTTCTAATACACTATTGTTTGATAGTCTTGAAAAATAAAAGCAAAGATCTGAATATTCAATGAATTTATTAAATCATACCTTTCTTTATTTATTTGCATTCGTAAGTCAGAACCTGAATATTGTCGTTGTTGTTGTGATTCATTATTAAATCTAAATAAGTTTGATGTAGATTTAAAGAAATTATATAAAACAATTTTTTTGTACCAATACCTAAATGTCCATTGACAACATAATCGAATTTTTTTACATAATGATTTTGGACAACATCGAACAATGTGTGGAGATCTTTCCTCTGAGGAACATTTATATCGACATATCATCCATCCTAATGCTAATGCAACAAATAAGCCAACAACAGTTAGCCATATAATATCTTTATTATCATCATATTTTGATTGTTGAGCATGTTGAATAATTCTTGTTGTTTCTGCGTTATCGAGTTTCATCATAGTTGTTTTACGTATTAAACATTAAACTAAATATAAAAATTTATCTTGATAAATAATCTTTATAGCTTACTTTATTCATCAAAGAGAATAAGATAGTTAGTTCATCATTTTTGTTTTCAACAGACCTACGAGCTACCTTATATGTTATTGCAGACAGAGCTGTCAGAAATATTTTTCTCATTTCTAATCATCTCTTGTTTTCTTGACAAGAAAAAAAAAGATGAGAAAAACCATATTGATTTTTCTATTTTCATGTTACATATTTTCTCTTGAGCAAAAGAAGGGAAAAAAACTAAATTAAATATCCTTCAATAAGAAACCAAACCTTTGTTTGTATTCAAATGACGTTTAAATAAAAAAAGACTAAAAAGACATTCTATAAGATCAAATTATTTTTAATATTTAGATATACTTTATTTTCAAGACAAAAAAGAGGAAATAAAAAATGTAATAGTCAAGTAACATCAATATATATATCATTTATTCTAACTATTCGCAAAAAATATCCTATTATATGTTGATTATTTATTTATTCTAATAAAATAATCAATATTTTATATTCTCAATATTGTTTGATTTCTTTTTTTAATTTATGTCCGTGAGTAATTAATATTTCATTAATTATTAAATTTTAATCAGAACTTCGACAGTATAATTCATCAAGAACAATTCTATGTGGAGTAGTAGTGGAGACAGGGGTAGCTGAGGATAGCATCAGAGAGAATTTGAAAGCTGTGTTAATGTAATCCATTGTGTTAATTAGAGTGTACTTAACTTACTATGATCTCATTTTGAGCTGAAACACTGGCTGCATCACTAATGTTGACATAGAATCATATAACTGAAGTTTCGATTGACCGATCTTTTTCGTTTATTGAAATAACAATGATAAAACGAATTTATTCTTTATTTAAAGGAATAATCATATTAATTGAAATACAATTTAATCGTTTTCAATCGAATTAATTGAATTTTAACGTAAAAAAAAAACTTATCAATGAAAAAGTCAGATTAATAGAGAAAAACAGTTAATCAACTTATTGAAATAAATGCCCAAAATTTTAAATATAAAAACAATTTTACAGCTAATGATATAAATTTATATGTAATATTAAGAACTTTCACAATGATTATAGTTTAAATAATAAACTATCCAAGATATAACTCCAAATATAATTGAAAGGTATGTTTAATATGTTAAATTAATACACCGTTTATAACTGCGATATCTAAAAGTTTCTTCAAAAATATCAACAACATTCCGAGGAAGATTATCCAAATCTAAATCAATCGTTTTTATACTCTTTGAAGTTTTATGTTCATCATAAAAATCTTCAATTCGTATACTATCAACTGAATTTCATATACGCCTTTGTTATAATGTTTTTTAGTTTTATATATATGCAGGACCCAAAGATGATATTCACATAAAAAATTAATTATTTTTTTTTGTACATATCCCTTAGTCAACGAGAAGGTGACATATACAGATATAAGAATCTCTTACGAACAAAAGAATCCTGGTGTATAACAGCAATTTATTCAATAGTTAATTTAAGATGCAAACAGAAAAAAACAAAAACTTCTGATGATTTAATTTTCTAAATAACGTTTTTTCATTTTTAAAGAATTGTTACCCTAGTAGATGTACTGACGGTGAGTTCAAGGTATTTTGTTATCAGTATGTCACAGAATCCCAGTTGAAAAGTATTTTGTAGCCAAGTGCTAACAATTCATAAAGTTCCCTAAGGTACTGAAGTATTTTAAAGATTTCTGTGAGATTTTGGGAACAGGGGTACCATGAGCTCAGTATATTCACTAGGATAACCTTTTTTTTCTACATATTCTAATCCAATAAGAAAACGACAATAAATGTTTCAAAATTGGAGGAGTCTTCTTTTATTCTGAATTTTCGTTTTTTTTTTGTTGCACAAAAATAAAATGTTAGCATGAGTATTTATATTGAAAAATCGAATATATGATGTATTTTCAAAATATAACTATTGAAAAAGAAAAACTTTATATCAATCTAAGAATTTCTCGAAGTCTTGGCGAAATATTAACACCAGATAATTTCCATTTCAATGAAGAAAAATCAAGTATTTCTAAAATATCTTTTTGCAATTGTAAATCTATATCATCAAATCGTCTAAAAGATATTTTATTAATAATTTTTATTAAACAAGAAATAATTAACTCACGTGAAAATATTAAAAAAATATCTTTCGGAAAAAGCTGCAATACCACTAAATTGTGTAAATGTTATTTTTTCATTGGATGATAAATCAAGTAAAACAATCACTTGTCTAATGAGTCGATTATCAATAGTACCCATATATGCATCGGCTAACGCATCAGCAAGAACCTATAGCAACTTTCATACGTTTCAAAAACTTAACAATATCATTACAAAAATTGTTATTTATTACCTCCATGTTTAATTCTGCTTCAATATCTTTATATTTATCAAAAGTACGTTTATAAAGTGCATATCGACGAGAATTCACTCGACAGTATTTTTCTAAATATTCTTTAGGTGTAAGTGCTAAACAAAAATATTTATTTGTTCTTTCATATGTTTAATGTTAAATGTTTTACTTTCAAAGAGTTTTACATCGAAAGGTATCCAAAATCGACTTGCTTTTTGAGATAGAACAACACTACTAGTACTTGTATATGAATAAAATGTCTATACAGTCAAATATAAAACAGATTCGCATAGAAACAAGTAAATTTTTGTTATAATAACACTTACTTCATTATTTTTAGTAGAGAATTCATCGAGAGTTTTGTACATCTTTGAAATTTTATCGATTTGATAAACCTATGTTTCCTCTCTTTAAATCTTTTAATTATGTTTTTAATCTATAAACTTGTATTACTTTGACGAGAACGTAAAACTTAATTGAGTAGAATACTTATTGTTGTTTTGTTTTTTGTATAAATGTGTTCGGTCATAAGCAATTTAACAATTTTAAATAAGACATTCATACAACATATAATAGAGTGAATACTTGAAAAATCTCTAGTTTCTAGTGATGATTCAAACTCGTCGGAAGAAGGAGAAAAAAAAGCGATGTTATTTCTTAAAAATGAACAATTTTTATTGGTAAAGAATTTATAAACGGAGAAATAATTATGTAAAATAAGCACGTCGATTATTTTTCAATGTTTATCCATTTGAATGAGTATTTCATTGGAATAGTAATTATCGGTCTTATGAATAGTGATGACACGAATCAGTAACATACGTTGTGAAAACTGCTTGTGTACCTTCAAAGTCGATTTTTGATTTAATGCATTGAGATTCCATGAAATTTTCTAAAAATGTTCTGTAAATGGAAATATATCAATGAAAAAGTTTTTGCAGCTACAAGCCTTACCGTTAGGGATCTTGTCAAGTACCAAGATGACAAATAAGATTTTCATGCGTGCAAATGTTTTTCCAACAAACCTATTTGAAAGAGAACTTTGCACCGCTTCAGATGAAGAAAAAGAGCTTTTTTTTAAAATTTTTATTTGACTTCATTTTAGAGCTCTGATGATCATGAAAGTTTGTTCGAAGTACGATTATGATTCTCTTATAGATTTACGTATTCACCGTTTTGCTTAAGAGTCCTAGAAATTCATCCTGAATTCTTAAGAAACTTTTGGAAATAAGTTTTTTTTTAAGCTAGGCATTTTTAGAGGAGTTATACCTGTATGTTAATTTCAAATAGCGTTCTGCTTTAGAAAAAACAGTTTTTTTTTGGAGCGCGTCTTTACTTTGTGATTTTAATAGAACAAACTTTAATAAATCATTAAAAAATAATATGCATCGACAATTTGAATCATTAAAATACAATCCCATATCTACTATGCACATAAAATCTCGAATAACAAAAAAAGAATTTATATAACATTCTTATGATGTATTTTACTTAGTTTTTGTCTTATTGCAAGTATATCTAAGTTTTGTACAAAAACCTAATGAGTATGTCTGTTTGAACTATGACATTGCTTAAAGACATATCAATGAATATTATAATTATATGGTCATTTTGCCAAGAATCGCTCAAATAATATCTAAATATATTTTTTCCACGAGGTGAATATTTGTTTTCTTTCAAATAAGTTACGATATTCTAACAAGAATAAATAACGATAATCAAACATTTGCGTTTCATTAGATTTGCTTTTCGATAAAAGCTTAACTTCAAATATATTTTCTAATAATTTCTTTTATTTTAAAGAATACTATTTGAAGACTGTTTTTGAATACATCAATGAAAGTTGAAATTGTTTTCTCTTTTCAAGCGACTTTGTTATTAATGTTGTACCCTCAGTACTAGAATTTTTTATAACAATACTCTTCAACTTCTCAAATAAATTAATTGTTTTCTATCATATTGGACTTCATTATTGCTATGATTGAATTTCGATCTAACCAAAAAAAAAACACGAATTAGAACTTTCATAATGTAGAAAACTTCACGATGGCTCTAGTTTAATCTGACGCTATATTTTATGCTTAAGTAAACTTTTTGTAACGGAAATTTTGATATCACTGATTTCTCGGTCTTGTCTTTATTTCTTTTGAACTATGCACATTTCCGTTACTTGTTGATGTCACTTGATCTTTTATTTCAACACTGCTCTCACCTTACATAAAACTTCTTACACCACTACGTATATCATCCACCAAAAAGAAGTGTAACGTTGGTCGAGGGTGTGGGTGTGGATGTGGATGTGGGTGTGGGTGTGTGGGTGTGGGGTGTGAGGTGTGGCTGTGGGTGTGAGCGTGAGTGTGAATGCATGTTATTGTAGTCCACATCCACGTTCACACTCACACCCACACCCCACACCCACACCCCACACCCACATCCATCCACACCCACCCACACCCACCCACCCACACCCACACCCAGACCCACACCCACACGCACAACCACACCCACATCCAAGATATCGATTATTAGTGGACATCATTTATGAGTACCACCTTCTATGAAATGCGTAAATTGTATATTTCAATCTCAATGGGGTTTTGCGCTGGCAAATTTTTTTCATTAGTTTTTATTTAGAAGAAATTGCTTTGAGAAATATCAAGAAAAAAAATGATTGAAAATGTTTATGCTTTTTCTGATGGTTCTAAAGATTGCTTCGATGTTGTCGAACGTAAACAACTACAACACCAACAGCAGCAAATGATAAATAGAACACTGGTAACAATACCAATAAGTATAACTGTGCCCATTGAAAAATTTTGAATAAGTGTTGTTATATAATTATTTGATTGATGTGTCATTGAAATCTGAACTTCTTTTGATGAACGATTAAGTATGCTATTCATTCGATTGGTAAAATGGATCGATTGAATAACATTCGTGATATCTTCAAATAAAAAAGAAGTTTCTTCCCAAATATATCTAAATATTCTTTCACTAACACATTTTTCAGACATACAACTATATGTCAGTTTTTCATAATCTAATTTTTTTAAATCGATACTTTCCATTTTAATATAAAGTGATTTTGTTGTTATTGATTGATTAAGTAAACAATCGTCATAATTTAAAATTGATGTATAAGGATTAAAGCACATAACATGTGAACATTCTATAATTTTTCCAGAAACAATATAACATCGATTTGATTGAACATCGAATGTTGTTAAATTAATAAATTTATTTTTCAATTGTCCATAATTAATACCAGTGAACCAACGAATCCATCGATTTATAAATGCTTTATCACATAGATCATCCGATGAACATGAATATTCAATTGAACTAATTATAGAATCATTATATTCAGATAATAAAAAATTTGTTTCAAAAGTTAATTTATTAACAGTATAATTTATATTTTGTTTGAATTGAATTGTAACATCACTATCTATTTCATTATAATCAATTAATATTTTAACGGAACATAAATTATTTTTTATATTCGAATCAGTGGTTTTATTTGTAAGCTTTTCTAATGTAAAAGATTCATTGGATGATCGAATTTCCTTTAGTGAAATTTTAAATAAAGCATTACTTATACAAATTAGATTATCAACATAATAAATGTTTAAAAAATTAATTAGCAGAATAAAGATTATTTTTACCATTATCATAATCAATTTCTAACGAGGATTTTGTATCGTTTGCTTCTTCCTTTAAATAAGAATAAAAACGTCGAATGATTCTTTTTGTTTGTTATCAATGAAAAAGAAAAAATGACTCTCTTATTCTTCAATATACAGACTCTATATAAACAAAAAAGAGAAGCTATCAAAGAAATATGTTTAAGAAAAAAAGAAGCCAAGTGGAAGATAATATAAACAGATATAAAATAAATGAGAACAAAACATGACTAAAGTAAAATGTGTGAGGAATGAAAAGTCATTGGAATGTATTTTATCGCAGTGATAAATTATACCAGAGATTCTACAGAGTAGGACAAAGCTATCTGATCCTGTGGAATGGCAAGAAAAGGTATTGATGCCTTGAAAATTTCAAAGACGAGACTATTTTTATTAAAAAAAAGTGCCATAATTTACTTCAAAAATCTTTTTTCAAATAACATACAGAAACAACTCAAATGTGTTTATCAGAAGGTACCTAGAATTATCGTGTATCTATGAGAAATGAATATTCGAGTATAGATGTAACAGTTTTGTTTATCCAGTCATACATTTACATACTCATAAACGAAAATTGTTAGAACGATTCAAAATTGAAACTGATCATAATTTCATAAGTATCTTGACTTTTGGTATGTATTTAATTCATATGGAACAGTATGCAAAGAGTATATCATTTTTCTGACACTGATTGTATCGTACAAAACTCAAAGAATATCAACTGTACTTTACTCTTAAAGAATTTGCTTGACCTCATATGAAAAATAGTGAATATGACCTTGAATTAGAATGTTAAGAAGAAGCAATGAAAGAAATTGATATAAACAATCATAATATGATCATAAGAATTCATACAAATATGGCAGTTGTCTTCTTTTCGAATACAAATATGATTGCTGGTTTTGAACATTGTCAACAATTACTTGAAATGTTAAATGACTCTTATCTATTCGATTCTGTGACATAGTCTGATGTGTTTATCTTATAGATCATTTTGATATTGATATTGAACATTGTCAAAAATCATTATTAATTCGAACAACTATCTTTTCTGATAATGATCCAATTCTGATTTTAACTTATGGTAAACTCACTAATCATTGTGATGAAAATAAGTAATATAGTAGAATATTGTATCAAGTCGATAGGCCTTTATGAAAAATATTCATCAGAAAAATGACTTTTTTTTGGAAAATAAAATTACACTTTTTACAAATATTGCTCGTTGTTATATTGTCTGAAAACAATTTCCCTTATCAGGAGTGAACTTTGAAAAAGCTTTCGAAGTACAAGAGAAAACTATCAGGAAAATGATTATTCTTCAGCGTTAGAAACCTACGAATAAATTAAAGAATTATTTGAAAATTCAAAACTGAATGACTAAAATCAGTAAAACATACCGTAAAACAAATCGTTATAATATTACTATTGACAACTCGACAAAATCATTGTAACAATCAATATAATTTAGCATTAGAGAATAATGAAATATTTAGCTATGTTTATTATCATATCGAAGATAAAATATTGACTGAAATATATTCTAGAAAAAGCATTAGGACTCTATATAACAAGTGATACTCATGAAGATGTCAAACGAATAGAAAACATTTTGCAGAACACTTTTAGCTTGAAGTTCGAAATGCTTCTAACAAAAATAATAATCATGTTATTATTTATCGTTC